TCTTCTAAAAATACTACTTTGTTGGGTGTGCATTGTACAGATTGGTCTAAGGAAAGGTTCTCGCTCATTTGCTGAGGCACGTGCTGCTGGGTTCTCAGAAGAGAATGGGACTTTAGGAGACATCTGGGAAACTGTCTCTGGCAGCGATTTGGTGCTGCTCCTAATTTCAGATGCAGCCCAGGTTGGTAGACTGACCAAAATATAAGTGCTGCTGGTCTGGTTCTACATTTCTATGTTTTGCATTTGCAGATATAGATTTCTCGTAGAACATTATGGTAGAAATTTATCGACGTGATTATTTCATGCTACATAGGGAATTAGCTCTCTAAAAAGTTCTAAATCTCTAATGCAGTAATGTGGCAAAGGTTAGGTATGTGTCCAATCTATCTTCCTAGACACCCTTTGTGGAGACTAAACTGAGTGTTATTTTTTAGTGATTTCTATGTTGGCAGTCAAAAAACATGCAGCATATGCAAATAATCTGATTTCTTTCAATCTTGCTCTCTATTTCTGGTATTAAAAGTTTTGTGAGTCTGCATGCTGATTACCTATTTAAATAATCTTTCATGGAGTACACCAAAGGAACTTGAAGGTATCTTTTAAATTTAAAGATATACTTTGCAAGAAGGATCCATTATCCTTCAGAGTGGAAGAAAACCGAAACAAATCTGACTTGTGAACTTAAAAACTACTAGGAGCTTGACATGTTAGGCTGTAAAAGTTGCATCTCAGTGGAAGAAATGGATTATGAGACTTCTTAAACCTCTGCAAGTTAAGTGAGTAATTTAAGATATAATGATGCATAAGATAATAAGCTTATTGAACAGAAGGTGTATGTTTTTGCTTGTCCTATATTGCATTTCATTTCTTGTCATCATTTTCTTATTTGAGATTTATCACGTTGCAGGCTGATAATTATGAGTCAGTGTTCTCTCACATGAAGCCCAACAGCATACTTGGGCTTTCCCATGGCTTTCTTCTTGGCCATTTGCAGTCGTTGGGCCTTGATTTTCCCAAGAACATCAGTGTTATAGCTGTGTGTCCCAAGGGAATGGGTCCATCTGTTCGGAGATTGTATGTTCAAGGCAAGGAGATTAATGGTGCGGGGATCAATTCCAGTTTTGCTGTCCACCAGGTCTCTAGCTCTGTGCCAATCTGTCTCTGATTATATACTTGTCTCTCAGTGGCCCACACAAAACACTTGTTTTTTCCTTGAATAAGGTTGTAAGGCTACCTGTATTTCTGTCAACAGGATGTTGATGGCAGAGCCACGGATGTTGCTCTTGGATGGTCAGTTGCCCTTGGTTCCCCTTTCACGTTTGCCACTACATTGGAGCAGGAGTACAAGAGTGACATATTTGGGGAGCGAGGTGAGCTTGGTTTCCTTCATCCTGATTTTGCTTCTAGCTGCATAATGATGTCTGATTTCACCCGTTTGATTAATAGGAATTTTACTTGGTGCGGTGCATGGCGTTGTTGAGTCCTTATTCAGAAGGTACACTGAAAATGGAATGAGTGAAGATCTGGCGTACAAAAATACCGTTGAGTGCATCACTGGGATTATTTCTAGGACAATATCAACCAAGGTTTGTGTACTTCTCAAGTACTATGTAGTTCATCCTTGTTCCTTCCTCACCTCTGCCGCCCACAATCCACCTTCCCTTCTTCCTCTTTGTCATCCTTCCCGAGTTCCCGTATGTTTTGAGATTTTTTAAAATCACTACCTAGGTATTTTGCAGGCTACTTTACCTATTAAACCTTCTTAACCTATTATATATCCAAAATATTTACCATTTTTTTGTGTCGTTTGCACTGTTCCTTCTCACAGGGCATGCTGGCTGTCTACAGTTCATTGTCAGAAGATGGTAAACGAGAGTTTGAGGTTGCATATAGTGCTTCTTTTTATCCCTGCATGGACATCTTATATGAATGTTATGAAGATGTAGCCAGCGGTAGTGAGATCCGGAGCGTTGTGTTAGCTGGACGCCGTTTTTATGTATGTTTCATTTCATTATCTGTTGACTTTCATGGTAGTCAAAGAGACTGTCAAATGTTAAAATAGTTCCCCACAAATGCTTATTCATGTTTTTCTTCACACTTCATAGGAAAAGGATGGTTTACCTGCTTTCCCAATGGGGAAGATTGATCAGACTCGGATGTGGAAAGTAGGTGAACGTGTTAGAGCAGCGCGACCTGCAGGTGACCTTGGCTCTTTATATCCTTTTACTGCAGGTGTTTATGTGGCGCTAATGATGGCCCAGGTGAGTTCTCTATTAAAAATCTAAAGTTCAAGTGGCTTATACTATCAAAGGGACCTACTTTATGCTGCTCATTGAGATAGTGAGTTGTCTCCTCCATGAAGGAGGACTTGGTTCCTCCAAATTATTATTGAAAGATACCAGTTACATGTGATTGGTCTCTGTTAAATTAAATTAAGTTTGATTAATAAAATTCGAGGGCCCATTTTTGTACTTATTACGGGAAATATGGCGTATTTCTTTCTTTCTTCCTTTTCTTTTTTTTTTNGTCTCTGTTAAATTAAATTAAGTTTGATTAATAAAATTCGAGGGCCCATTTTTGTACTTATTACAGGAAATGTGGCGTATTTCTTTCTTTCTTCCTTTTCTTTTTTTTTTCCAAATTTGAAGAGAGGCTTCAAGAAGATTTTATTTACCTGCATGTTTAGCTAACAATCATTTTATTTGTTATTTTTGGTTTATTTTGGAATGATGTCATAAACAGATTGAGATTCTACGGAAGAAAGGGCACTCATACTCGGAGATTATAAATGAAAGTGTGATTGAGTCAGTGGACTCTTTGAATCCGTTTATGCATGCTCGTGGGGTTTCTTTCATGGTAGACAATTGTTCAACAACTGCACGACTTGGATCACGGAAGTGGGCTCCACGATTTGATTACATTCTCACCCAGCAGGCCTTGGTGGATGTGGACAATGGTACTCCTGTCAATCGGGACCTCATCAGTAACTTCCTCGCGGATTCTGTGCATGGATCCATTGAAGTTTGTGCCCAGTTGAGACCCACTGTTGACATCTCAGTGCCACCGGATGCGGATTTCGTTCGTCCAGAGCTGCGCCAGTCTAGCAACTGAAGGTGTAGAAGAATACTTGGCTTGTACTAGCTAGTTTGTTATGTGATAGTTGAGCGAGAACTTTATTGAATCTTGGAGCACTTTTAGTTGAATCTGTTTTCCTCGAGGGTTATTCTACTATAAAATACTTCTCTATGTTTGGCTTTATGCTTAGGCATGAGACTTGAGATGCACTTCTATATATTGATGGGATAATGACAAGTTTTCTTCTTCAAAGCAGAGGAGTTTTTTAGAATTGCATGCTCAAAATAGGAAAAATTACTGGTCATTATCTGTAACAGTGCCACGGCTGTGAGAAATACTTGGGAATTTAGGCATTCTTTGGATGAGTTAGCATTCCTGATCTGTTGTTTATTTAGTAGCAGGCGAATCTTTTGCTGACACTCACTTTGATTGGTACAAAATCAGTTGCAATTTGTTTTGCTTTGTTTTCCTTGAAAGGCTTATGGTAGAATTTTTTTTCTTTTTTTTGGGTGGGGGAGACCTTCCCTTCTTCATTTCCAATCCTGTTCTGTTTGTCTTCTGTTTNGTTTTCCTTGAAAGGCTTATGGTAGAATTTTTTTTCTTTTTTTTTTGGTGGGGGAGACCTTCCCTTCTTCATTTCCAATCCTGTTCTGTTTGTCTTCTGTTTCGTCTTGTTTTTGGTCTCATTGTATAGCTTTTCTGTTTGTTTTCTTGTTCTTGCTGAAATGGTTGTTAGAGCTGATTTGTTTATGCATTGTTGTGAGTCAACTAGAAGTAGGTTTATAAAATCAAGCTAGTCTGTCTCGGACGTATATAGCCATCTTTCCCAAAAAAAATTTGGTTGTGGAATATCTTCTGATCTTCTTGGTATCGTCTTTGGCGACTGAGAATGGAGTTGTTTAAATTTCCCTAGTGTTGGTATACTGTCCTTGCCCGTGTTTTCAGTGAAAAGTCCATTTCAAGTTTGAGGCTAGCAGATTGGAAAGAAAGTTTAGGTTATGGGGGTTTCTATTTAGACGAAGATGTTCACATATGCAACGATATTACGTAGCTTTACAGATATTTGTTGGGAGAAGACGGCAACAGTTATTTCTTCATGATCACCTGCGCACAGCTAAACCACAAGAGAAGAATTTCATTGCGGTGCTGTACAGGCCATCCTTGCCTTGCCACAACTACTAACAAGCAAGAGTTGAGAGTAGAAATCACAATAGCAAGTGATGCATATTATTTACATAGCCAGTCATGTTGTAGGATTCGAACTTGGGCAGTGGGATATGAAGCCTGCATTGCAATACCACAAAGGCCTTCTTTTNTTGCATCCTTACGTACCCTTTTTCGCCCCATTGCGTGCTGCATGATTTCTTCACCGACAAGTACTTCATGCCCTCGTTACTAGTCCATTAAGCAACCGCTACAACATCAAGGTCTAGGTCAGTATCATACTCCTAAGAAAACACTAATCGTGTAGTATTGGAAGTCAGATTCCTTTGCAACAGAGGAATCTTGTTAACTAGCAATAGCTTTCAGGAGTGCCGGTTCACCGTCTTATTGTCTTGCTACCACGATTTTGTTATCCCTATTTCCTTCTGTTTTCAGCTACAAAATATAGTGTGTTCCTGGCTAAATGATATGTGGGAAGAAAATAGCAAGGGGAAAGCAATAGGTTCATCATTTCAACTAGTGTTGCCAAGAGCACGATGAACCAACTCAGTACAGTAAGGCAGCTCAGGTGGAAAGCAGGTACAAGGAAAATACTTTCAACAGAAAATGAGTTTAAATAGCAACTTATGTATTTTCCATATAAATAACCATGATTCATAACAAATTGATTTCCAGAATGACAAGTGCACAAATCCTTGCCTTGCCTCAACTACTAACAAGCAAGAGTTGAGAGTAGAAATCACAATAGCAAGTGATGCATATTATTTACATAGCCAGTCATGTTGTAGGATTTGAACTTGGGCAGTGGGATATGAAGCCTGCATTGCAATACCACAAAGGCCTTCTTTTGCTTCGACGTCTCTTTGCATCCGTATATACCCCTCTTCACCCCAACTTGTGCCCCATGAGTTCTTCACTAGCCAATACTTAGTCCCATCGTTGGCAGTCCCATAACCAACATCAATAACACGGTGATCTAGGTCAGTGCCACAATCCCCTCTAAAGACGCCACTCGAGTAGAATTGGAAGTCAGAACCCCCAGCATCAATGGCAACAGAGATTGGTTTTTTGGCAACAGCTTTTAGTAATGCACTCTCACTATTGTTAGGGACACCTTCATACCCAGTAATCTTGGCTACATGGTTTGCTGCCTTGTTGGCGTTGGAAGTGCAATCGGTTCCCTCATAGGGATACGTAGTTTCAGAAGCGAGACCATTATTTTTTAGAAAACGTAAGAATAGTCTGCGCAACCAATTCCCACAAAGATCTTATGAAACTAGAAACATAATCATGACAGTCATGGTCACAATTGTCCCAAGGCTTGGCTTGGGTACAACAAAAACAATGCAANGTAACCGAGAAAGAGGTACATCTCAGAACCGAGGAATAGGTACATCTTGAATCCGAGAGGGGGGAGACCTAGCGACCGATGTACCATATCAGACCGAGGGTACGTGTCGGTACATAAAAACGTATTGGATGCCACTCGATCCCATGATAAGTACCTCGNGTAATGTAGCGGAGCAGAGCCCGCGACGGCATCTGTCTTGCGGGATTTATATATAGGGGACGCTGATAAGTTGGGGGTGCGGGGGCAACGCCCCCGCGGTACGGTACAGGGGTATTTTTGTAAATACGTCCATATTAGGGTTATATAAATACTTAAGATGTAACCCTACTTCAATAAGGAAAAGAACAGCCGCTCGCTCTCGTGGATGTAGGCACATTGCCGAACCACGTAAATCTCTGTGTGTTATTTTCTCCTGCTTTCTTAATTGTTTTATTCCTTACTATTCACCATAATTGNCCCATGAGTTCTTCACTAGCCAATACTTAGTCCCATCGTTGGCAGTCCCATAACCAACATCAATAACACGGTGATCTAGGTCAGTGCCACAATCCCCTCTAAAGACGCCACTCGAGTAGAATTGGAAGTCAGAACCCCCAGCATCAATGGCAACAGAGATTGGTTTTTTGGCAACAGCTTTTAGTAATGCACTCTCACTATTGTTAGGGACACCTTCATACCCAGTAATCTTGGCTACATGGTTTGCTGCCTTGTTGGCGTTGGAAGTGCCATCGGTTCCCTCATAGGGATAAGTAGTTTCAGAAGCGAGACCATTATTTTTTAGAAAACGTAAGAATAGTCTGCGCAACCAATTCCCACAAAGATTGCCAACAAAGATCTTATGAAACTAGAAACATTATCATGACAGTCATGGTCACAATTGTCCCAAGGCTTGGCTTGGGTACAACAAAAACNGGCACGTGTTTTCACCTTGGAGTATTTCAAAAATGTCCCATCAACTACCCTCCAGCCTTCGATCTTCTGACACCGAGGACACGCGTTGTAAGGAGACGAAGGGTTTTGCAACAACCCCAACTGCTTCATCATTGCCCCTAGCCGTTTTCCCTGCTTAGGATGTTGTGCGCATTAAATGCGCCGTTTCGTGCTTTGCGCCCAATGATGGGATAGGTGCTATATATAAAGGGGTTTTCTCTCTTCTTTTCTCATTTCATCGTTCTGAACTTTTCTTCACAGAGAGCCCTTGCCTGAATCTTCGCCGGAGACCTCTTTCCTTCCGTTTNTTTTGCACAATATAAAAACGAGAACATATCTCTTTTTTGGTGAACTCGAGTGAGTCAGTTGAGTGGTCAATCACGCTACTTGGAACAGCCTGTGAGATCCGATGGTAACCTAGAACGGTAATGGGAGACCCTCGCGGATCAAAGGAACAATCCAGTAAGGCTGAAGAAAAGTTCCTGGAACAAAGAAGAACAAGTTAGAAGGGCGNTCACTGAAGCTTTAAAGCCAGCAAACCCATCCTTGCTTCTAAACATTCTTGGAAGGAGTCGATTCAAGTTTTCCAGAAAAAACCTCTTTTTACACTCTGGTGAGTCCCAGTATCTTCCCTTTCTTTGCCCTTCTGTCTCTTTTGGTTTTTCGATCACTGGAGGTGTTTTCTGGTTGCCCTTCACAGACCAATTCCCGGGAAGCCTTCTTGGGGATCTTCGTGGAAANATTAGGTGATCATTAGATATAGGCAACGTGCGTACTGATTCCTATGAGGAATGTCTTCTCTCTTAACTGCTCGGGACCCCGAGCAATCAANCTTTTGGTTTTTCGATCACTGGAGGTGTTTTCTGGTTGCCCTTCACAGACCAATTCCCGGGAAGCCTTCTTGGGGATCTTCGTGGAAAAGACCCCCTCTATTTTTTATCACTTTTTGAAGATGCCTCGTCGTCGCCCTGCCCCCCAGAACCCTCAGGCCAGTACTTTGAGGCCTGGGAAGTACAAAGGAAAATGTGGTGAACAAATTAATGGATTTAGGGTTAAGTACAGCATTCCCCCGAATGTAGACATAGAGGATTATGACCTGGCTGTGCATCCTCGTACTCTCAGTACCGAGGACGCAANCTAGGGAAGTATAAAGTAAAAGGTAGTGAACAAATTAATAGATTTAGGGTTAAGTACAGCGTTCCCCCGAATGTAGACATAGAGGATTATGACCCGGCTGTGCACCCTCGTACCCTCGGTACTGAGGATGCAATGTCTTTTTATATCAAAGTCATCATAGAAGGCAGAATTAGGTTCCCTTTGCCCCCTCTGTTTCTCTAGTTCCTCTCTCATTTCTACCTCTTTCCCGGGCAGTGTTGCCTTAATGTCTTCAGGATAATTATGGGGGTCCTAGAGCTCAATAGGCGTCTTAGGGTANCGCCTCTGCTTCTCCAGTTCCTATCTCATTTTCGCCTATTTTCCGGGCAGTGTTGCCTTAATGTCTTTAGGATAATTATGGGGGTCCTAGAGCTTAATAGGCGTCTTGGGGTAAACGTCGGGCTGAACGATATCCTTTTTTGTTATTCCCTCTTGAGAGTTACGCCTCAACAACACTTCTACCTCAAAGCCAGGGACCCATCTATGTACCTCGTAACTCACCTTCCTGACTCGGACAAGGGGTACAAGGATGACCTACTCATTTTCAAGGGATCTTGGCAGAGAGGTGTCGGTCCCGAGTATGACAGCTTGTTATGCCCTTTGGAATGGAGAACGACAAGTACGTCGGTTCCTTTGGGTCTATCATTTTGTTTCTGAGATTTTCTACGTGTTCATGACCCACTCTCTTTTTGCTTGTGCAGACATCTCCCCTCGGGAAACAGCTCCTCCACCTCGGTCGTTGGTGAATTTTGCGGACCTAGTCACCGTTTGGAGATTCACTGGTGACGACGGGCTCGGCCGAGCTGCCCATATCCTCCTGAATTATACTCCCGGATATAAGAAGTTTTCACAATTTTCCCAGCATTTCGATCTTTCGCGGTGGTCTGAACTCTTCGATCAGGCGGTGAGGCAAGAGGTTGAGGAGAACTTGGAAGAAGACCTTGACCGGGCCTCGGAGGCAGAAGTAGAGGGTGAAGTTGAAGAGCTCGGGGTCAGAGAGGACTTGGTTCCTTCGTACACCGAGGTGGGGACTTCAGGCAGAGACTCGTGGCCGGACTTCCAAATCCTACAATCTCTCGACGCCGAAGACGCCCTCGAGGTAGCCATGTCCAGCACGCCCCGCATTGATCTAGGGTTCCTAAGGCAGAGGCAAGCCCTCGCTGCTGAGAGGGGACGAGGATCTACCGGTGGGGCCCCATCTGCAGGGACCAGCACCACCCTGTCCTCAAGAATCGTCAGCCGGGGTCAAGTGCGTGATCGGGATCCTCAGGTAGAGGAGGAGAGGAGGATCAAACATAGGCACGACGGCCTTGGCAGGGGATCCAGGGCCCCCTCCGCTCAGCAACAAAGTGGGAGAGGCCGTGGGTTACCTCCTTCTCCTCAGCAACAACAACGACAACAGCAACAACAACAGCAACAACAGACTCCTCCTCCCCTTCTGCAGACAGTGGAAGCCGCGGAGTGGAATCCTCGAGCCACTGATCACATGAACCGAGTGATCAGGGTCGACGACTTCATTTTGCAGGACCCTCATGTCGCCCATGCAGTGAGTGAGACGCTGCATTTCGAGGCTGACATGGTGGCTCATAGAGGGCGATCAACGAACGTGTTGTTTCGCTCTATCATCCAGAATTTCCTGGTGGTAAGTTCATCTTTGCTTCAATCTCTTTTAGCCGCCTTTCCTTTTAGTAACATGCCCTTTCATTTGCAGGCCACCCAACAGATCTCCGTAATAGCGGCGCGGTATCATGGGGCTAGGATGGACCTTCAGCAGATTTGAGAGCAGAAGGAAGAAGTCGAGGAAGCCCTTGCCAGTGCTAAGGAGGATGTGGCGGCCAGAAATTCCACTCTCGCGGGACAGACTGCTCAAATCGAGCAACTCCTCAAGGATGCCGAGTTGGCAAAGGTCGGCGCTGAAAAGCTAAGTGCTGCCCTTGCTGACGCTGAGAGGAGGATAACAGAACAGACGCAGCTGCTCTCTGCGGCAGAGGAGAGGGCTGTTGGTTCCGAGGAAAGCTGTCTGGTTCTGACCTAGGAGCTGGACAGGATCAGGGATGAGGCACAGAACAGGAAGTCCGAGAAGCAACTCCGAGAAGAGTTTGCCGATGACGTGCCCCCCGCTCTTGAGGAAAACAACAAGGAGTTCTTCAAGAAGGGGTGGGACGGGGCGCTCCAGTCTGCTGGGATCCTGTCAGACTCCCCGCTCTTTCAGATGCACAAATACGTGCCCTCGGCGGAGATGGAACAGGTCGAAGCCGAGATTGCTGCCGAGGACGTGAATCCAACGCCGGTGCAAGATTCGGTTGATCCGCCCGAGCCGATAATCGTGGATTTGTCTGACGAGGCCATGCCGGAGCGGGCTCCTGACCATGTTATTCCTCAAGCTCTCACTGTTGCCAAAGTGCCTCCCATTCTGCCCACTCCCGAAGATGCTCAACCTCTTTACGATGATTCTCCCTTTGGCGATGTTTTGGAGATGCCCAGGGCCAGATGAAAGTTCTTTTTTCTTTTTGATTGTACTTTTTTCTATTGTAGCTTTGGGGACGCAAAGCCCCTCTTTTTGAATGAAAACTTTTTTGTACTTAATCCTTTCTTGCGTACACCTTTGTAGGAATCCTTGAATCGTCCTCAGGGCTTTGCTCATCCAAGAGGCTTGCTCTCGTGGTTGTTTCGGGGACAAGAGTCCTCGAACTCTGTCCCCAGGGCCTTGCCCTTCCAGGAGGCCTGTTCCTGTGTTTGCTACGGGGGCAGGAGTCCTTGAACTCTGTCCCCAGGGCCTTGCCCTTCTAGGAGGCTTGCTCCTGTGTTTGCTTCGGGGGCAGGAGTCCTTGAACTCTGCCCCCAGGGCCTTGCCCTTCCAGG